GCTCTTGAGCTTGCTAGTGATACGTTGTGTCAATCATTGACATTCAATGAAGAATTACAATTAAGGCCTTGGTGGACTCCAACTCCAAAAAAGGATTATCTTTTAGGTGAGCGCATCATGCTCTTTGGCCAGCAGTGAACTGCAATTTTTTTTCTTCTCTTTTTCTCTCTCTAATTGACACTTTTTTCGCTTTCATGCAAATTGTAAAACAAAAGTCTGGTTTCCCTAATAGATATATGTCTACAGTATATGTTTCTCCAACTTTTCAGCAACCATAAATATCTTTATGAGCTAGATGCTACTGTTGACTAGGCTCTTATAGGTTATCGCTATGGCGCTGCCAATGCTTTCCGTCATTTGACTCTGTTTGAGTCTTCTGAGATGGATGTAGTTATATAATAAAATGATTAATCCGTGCTCCTTTGATTGCAGGACCATTTGAAGAACTCAAACATCCAATGGAAAATTTGGTATAAATTTTTTTGCTGCTTGATAGTATTTTTATTTCTGACTATATTTACTGATTATGGTCCTTTGAGCTGTAATGCAGGATCATTGTAGAGAATGGGAAACAAATGTGCGAGAAAATGTTGAGAGGAGATCTCTTCTTCCTCGGATGATATATTTGTCTGTGCAATGTGTGTCAACATCTAGTAAGGAGAGCATAGATGTTAATGGGTCTGTATCTGATTCTACCTTCTCCTTGGAGATAAAATCGTTGCTGGAGCGCTATGTAAAGATCCTTGGCTGTTCCGTTGACGAGGCTTTTAAAGTTGTGTTTGATGTTGCTGAGGGTCAGAGACCTTTGGAGGTCTGTATTATCAAAATCTTCGTTCTTGTTTATTATCTGTAGCGACTGCTTCTGATACTGCCCCTCTGGCTTCTGTATGAAACATGTTTTAGCATGTGCCTCTACTTGATTGAAAGCTATAATAATATACTACATTATTTTTAGGCTTATCTAATATGAATTGTCAAAGCTATAATATATATTGAGTAAAACAGGGTATTTATCATCCATATTAAGAAAGTATATATCATGTTATTTGAATAAGAGATGCCCTGTCTTACTGTTACTGAATGGCATTTTTTTTTTCTGTTGACAGTCATTGGACTAATGTTTTTAATAGTACACTCCCTTCTTCCCATTATGGTTTGCACACTTGGTTTTCTTAGGGGGGAAAAAGTGTCCACTATTACATGCTTTGCCCCACTTATCTTCTAACAATTATATCTATGCCAAACCCTATCATGAAAAACAATAATGGGCAGAGGGATTAGCTTGATCGAATGGGTGAAATTTGCTGTGTTTTTTTTTTTTTTTTTCTAAACCTTTTCATGTGTTGGCATTTGGTGCAGGCTTTGGGCTCAGACTTGATCGATTGGGTGAACTTTGCTGTATTTTTGAACGCATGGAACTTGAGCTCCCATGAATCCGTGCTTCCAATAGCTGAAGGGAGTACATCACTTTGGCATTTAGTAAATTCTTTGCTACAGAAGTGTATACTACAAAAGGTCAAAATAACAGGTCCCAAGGTTTGTTCTCCAGGAGGCGATCTGCCAGTTTTGGTGCAATTGATTGCAGAACCTGTTGCTTGGCATTGTCTAGTACTCCAGTCTTATGTTCGCTCATCTATTCCTTGTGGCAAGAAGAAAAAGAAAATTGGACCCACAGATGGTTCAACTTCTGTGTTATCTCAGACAATCCGGGATTCAGTTTTGTCCCTACATAGCATTATAGAAGTGGTTGTGAAATGGTTGAAAGAAGAGGTCAATAAAACAGAAGATGAAGCAGTGGATCATATGCTCTCCTCCCTCACAAGTGACCCAGATGAAGGTCCTGGAAAAGTATACCGAGCTCTTAAAGAATTGTTGTCTACTGTAGATGAAGGAGAACTGGGTGACCGAATCTTCCAAGGAATCAGGTCCTGGAGTCCAACAGATGTTGCCAGGAAGACATTTAAAGGCCAACATAAGATGATGTTGACTCTTCTACAAATATGTGACTCCAAGCTTAAGCTGCTGGAGACTGTAAAGCAGCAAATATAAGGTGCAAGTAACCAAGTACTATGCTAGCTCACTCTTGACGGTTGTGTTGGGTCATTTGTTTGGTTGGTATGTTTGTCGCCTTGGCACATTGAGCCTCCTGCCTTCATTCTTTTATTACCCTAAGGGAACTTCATTATCCGGGCACCATGTGGGTTTTTTTTTTCTTCTTCTTGATACAAGTTCCCAATCTAATTGGCATGTTTCTCAATAGGAGAATTTCGAGCTTGAATCATGTACATTAAAGAACAATAGGAATCACATTTATCTTTAGTTCTTTTTGACAACAGAAAAAAAAGAAAAGAATAGAAAAGAAAAGAAAAAGGGAGGCTAGTAACTTCAATTTTTTTCGGGAATGAGCTTTGTCAATAATTTTTTTGAATGATAGTTTTAGCAATTTTACATGAATTTTTCATGCCAAGAAAGGTTTTTTTGGTACTCCCAATTCATGATGCCTTTCTGTAATTTTACTTTATAAATCTTTCTCCTTCTATATTTACCAAATTGCCATGTAATGCAGTTGCAAAATCACATTTATGCATTTGGACTTCCTGTTGCTGTTATTTTTGTTTGTAGCTTAGCAGAGGGCAAAACTCGTTGCTCATTTTCTGGCCACTGATGCTCTTCCTTGCCAAGTGTTTGCTTAAATACTTATGTTTGAGGACATAACGTCTTCTTACAACTTCATCAAGAATCTCTTGCTTGAATTGTCTGAGCACCTTGGCCTTCGCTTGCTCATTGAACATCTTTATATCCCACAATGTAGGACTCATTCAAGTCGATATTTCCAAAAGATAATCCAAGGAACACATATCCATCAATAGGTGTTGGGAGGACTAGAAGATAACTTAAAGAGTATCTAAGGAACATGTCGCAAATGATACTGCAATAACAGGGTCATCTGATTCTGGTTGTGCAGCTGAAATCAGCAATCATGAGCTAGTATGCTCCTTAGCTGGCCAATCTGACATCAAGTACTCTTTACTGGTAAGCAGTAACTAAGAGATAGCTCAATGACAGTCATCTAAGATATATGAAGGCCAGAGGAAGGTCCCAAACAAACATTCCAGGTTCTAAAAGATTTAATAGGTTCTGCAAAGAAGTGGAACCGCACCATTAAATTTTCTTAAGCAAAATTTTGGAAGCTTACAGAAACATATTCTTCTAACTCTCCATATTTGTCATAGCAGAAATGGGTAGTAGATGACATTTGACAATTACCTTAGTCAAGAAAGTCTTAAATAAAGGTATTACCCAAAACTTGAGATCAAACCGTATCTAAAGTTTTGACAATGTCTCTATAACAAGGCTCAAATGACTTTTTGCAAGAAATTTGTCAATTTTTTCATAGACTAAAAGCATAAGACACTCCCTACTAACTACTTAGCCAACACATGGCAAGTTATTGTAAAAGATTACGCCATATAAACAAATATGGTATAAGCAAATTTGTTTATCCTTTTCCTTAATGGTAGCAATGATCCCATTACATGTATTGTAGAAGATAACAATGTCGCAATTATCATAAAAAAACTATAAGATGGGGTGATTGTCAACAAATATTCCTTTCAATAACCACAAATTTCTTGAGATTAGTTGCATGGTTGATTTTTCATGGATACTTGGCTTAATGCCATCAAGTCCACTAAGATCATTGAAATTTCCAAACATTTGGAAACTTCTTAAGTCAATTAACCAACAAATAGTCAGTGATAAATTTTCAACAAAAGTAACAAAAACCCAAAAAAATTCGTTAAAATATGATTATAGTCGTTGGAGTTGCTGGCACACCCAAAAGATACCTGAAACCGTTACCTTAGATTGTCAATATCAAAATTTCTTTTTTTTTTTTTTTTTTTTTTGAGAGGAACAAAATTTCTTGTTTATTTCGTGTTGCATACGTTCAAAAGTCTTTAAGTTTAGCTAGAGTTGTGTTTTTTTTTTTTCCTAATTAAGAACAATTAAAGTGAGGTCAACTAACAAGTGTAAATAGAAACCAAATACAATCAGTTTCATGTAAATAAATCAGTTTATGTCAACATAACGCATGATCTGCTTAGGTTAGATAGTAGATACTCTTTTGTAATTGGTGAGGTTAGGCAAACAAACCTTTTTACCATAGATAAGTAACTTTTAAATCAGTCAAAATCGAGATAGAGTGTTCATTATACACCCTATGTACCTTGTGCTAGTCTAGACTCTCGAGGTATGTCAATGGTTACAAAAATATAGTCTTACTTGTATGTAGCTCAATTGACTCGATGTACATTGATAATGTAAATTTTATTCATACTGAATCAAATAAGCTACATGACTTGTCACCTGACTTGATTTTAAATTGAAAAATGATTGAATCCTGTTAAGCATGATTTGTGTGTCGCCTCTATATTCACAACCCCAATACTTTGTATTGCAAAGCTCAATTTTTGTTGATGTTACTATATATACTTACTACAGAAACAAAAAGACTAATTTAAGGTTGTCTCTTACGTTCTTACGGCAATGGATAATGTGGGAACAAGTCAATATGAACAAATGAATATGAAAAAGCCTTTGAATTTGTTAAAATGACCTTTACCTCATTTGATCATTCTGTACATATTTTTCAATATACTTAATTAATTTAATTCTAAAAACACCTGGATCGCAACACTTGGTCAAAGGAGAAATTACCATTCCTAGAACAATTCAAAGTTTGAGGTAAAAATAAATAAATTAAATTAAGATAATTAGAAGTCAATTATACACTAATCTTTCTGTAAAATTGGACCTACCTCTACTTACGCACATATATTCCATCTTTAATATAGTCAGAGATAATTGGTGCACCAAATCTTCGTTATGGTTGGACTAAGTACTTGATTTGGACCTAATATACATATTAATTAATTAAACTCTTACATTATATTCCATCTCATTTTTCATGTTTAAATTTAAAGTATCGTATTAGGTTATGACTTCGTATTATCGTATGTTATGTACGTCTGTATATATATCCAGCACTTCTTCATACTACTCACACACAACCTTATTACAACAACTTCACTCTTGCAAAGGATAGATTGAAAGAAGCAAGATGAAGTTGAGCAGCACAAAATGTGGCCTCTTCATGGGATTGTTCGTATTTTTGGCATTCGCGGCTGACTTAGCTAACGCGAAGATACATTATCACAACTTTGTTGTATGTTTTTCGAGACTCTATAAGTCTCCCAAGTAACTATGTTGTATGATTTATTTTCATGCATGAATTGATGTTCATTTACTAAATATTTTTGTATGATAAAAACAGATCCAACCGAAGCCAGAGAAGAGGCTGTGCAACAACCAAGTCATTATGACCGTAAATGGTCAGTTTCCGGGGCCAACCCTGGAGGTACGTAACGGAGACACCCTAATCATCAAAGCCACTAATAGAGGCAGATACAACATCACCCTCCACTGGTAAACTCTCTTTCTAAGGACCAATTCGTGTAGGATTTGTTAAGCTTGTTGATATCGATAATCTAACCTGTTATAAATGTTTCATTTAGGCATGGAGTGCGTCAAATGAGATCACCATGGGCAGACGGGCCAGAGTTTGTAACACAATGTCCTATTAGGCCAGGAGAAACCTACACATACAGATTCACCATCGAAAACCAAGAGGGAACATTATGGTGGCACGCTCATAGCAAATGGCTGCGAGCCACTGTGTATGGAGCTCTAGTGATATACCCGAAGCTAGGATCTTCTTATCCCTTCCGAAAGCCAGCGAAAGAATTTCCTGTACTTCTAGGTACAACAGATCCCCTAAACTAATATGCACATTTAGCTCATAACATAAAAATGTAGAGTTACAAGGGACTAAATATTTCGAGTTTGACAGGGGAATGGTGGAACAGAGATCCAATGCAAGTCCTTCAACAGTCTATGCTTACAGGAGCTGCTCCAAATGTGTCTGATGCATACACTATTAATGGTCAACCTGGTGATCTCTACCGCTGCTCTAGTCAAGGTACGACGATATTCCCTTGTCAGAAAAGGCATGAATACTTACAGTCATACAGTTTAAGTGATCTGGTGCTGGATAGGAGCATATTTTTTTACTGATGACAGCCTCGATTATGATGCAGATACAACAATATTCCCGGTTAGAGCTGGTGAAACATTTCTTCTCCGGATCATCAACGCTGCACTCAATCAACAACTCTTTTTTTCAATTGCCAACCACCAAATGACAGTTGTTGAGGCGGATGCAGTTTACACCAAGCCCTTCACCACCAATGTTGTGATGATAGGGCCAGGACAGACAACCAATGTCCTAGTCACTGCTAACCAACCACCAGGCCGCTACTACATGGCAGCAACAGCCTATGCCAGTGCTCCTAATGTAGCTTATGACAACACCACCACAACTGCAATCCTCGAATACCAAAGAGGAGGTTCTTCGAGGCCAGTCCTCCCACAACTACCAGTATGGAATGACACAAACACTGCCAAAGCATTCACATCGCGATTTAGGAGCCTCTCCAGAGGGGAAGTCCCAACTAGGATTGATGAGAACCTATTTTTTACAATCAACCTTGGGCAAATCAACTGCTCACGCCCAAGTTTCCGTTGCCAAGCGCCTAACAACACTAGGTTCACTGCCAGTATGAACAACGTATCATTCTTGCTGCCAACGAGAAATTCAATTCTGCAAGCCATGTATCAAAACACCCCTGGTGTCTTCACAACAGACTTTCCTCCGGTGCCTCCAGTGCAATTCGATTACACTGGAAATGTAAGCCGCGGGTTGTGGACACCTGTTTCAGGGACAAAACTATACAGGCTCAAATTTGGATCTCATGTACAAATTATCTTACAGAACACTAATATTGTCACAGTTGAAGATCATCCCATGCATCTTCATGGTTACCATTTCTATGTTGTTGGTTCGGGTCAGGGTAACTTCAATCCAAAAACAGATCCTGCCAGATTCAATCTGGTTGATCCACCATTTAGGAATACAGTTGGAACTACACCTGGTGGATGGGTTGCTATTCGATTTGTAGCTGATAATCCAGGTAATTTCTCAAATCTCTTACACTCACTTCATCATCTCATCATTACACTTCTTTTTTCTTGTTATGATGTCTTTGTTTTTATTCTATATTGTTCATGCAGGGGTTTGGCTAATGCACTGTCACCTTGATGTTCATATTGGGTGGGGTTTGGCTATGGCCTTCTTGGTCGAGAACGGTGTTGGTGAACTGCAAACCTTGGAACCCCCTCCATTAGATCTTCCTCAGTGTTGAGTAAAAGAAAAGCATTGGATTTGCATTTAATACAGCTTAATGTCTAGGTTAATGATGTCTAGTCACAAATTCAAGGGACAGTCTTTATTATTATTTTTTGTCACAAAATAATGTATACCATATTGCATAGTTTTTCATTTCCATGTACCTGGCTGTGGTACAGAATCAAGCTATATTGTCTTTGTCTATGAATCAATACAATTTAGTTTCAATTTTTGAAATCGTAAAACATGTGTCTTTCTCCAACCTGTTCATATCTTGCCTATTTGTTACACAGCCTACTTGGCTACTTCAGAAGAGATATCTTATTCTGATATATCTTCTACAGTTCAGATTTTATTCCATATTTTCAAACACAGAACAAGTTCATACCGAGTAACTTTTAAATGACATGAGCATCAATGTCACATATAGAAATGAACTATTACAATCACCATATCATATCAAAATTTGGCAAAATATTTTTTAGAGAAATTTTTTTACCAAATGTAAAACTTGAGTATTGAAATAAGGGCTTAAACCCTAAACCAACACTTCACATCACCCAAAAAAAAAAAAAAAACTCATAAAGAACACTGCAAAATCCCTTTTTTGAGTGAATAAAAGTTCAAAACCTTATAACATAGATGATAAATATCTAAATACAATTATACAGCCAAGTACACAGTCACCATGTTAATTTTATGAAAATTGAAACCCATTGGCTAAATGAGTAGTAAATAATATATCATAAACTCATAATGTATACCATAATGCTGAGAACTTTCCGAGAATGTCTATGGTTAGACTTTTTTTCCAATTCTCATCCAGTTTATTTCAATCACTTATGAACAAAAAAGTCCAAAAGCGTGAGTATATATAAAAGTATAAGTCTAGAAGACCGTGTAAAAATAGTCTTGAGCATAGTGATTTAAGGTCTAATGTCAATGATGCTCTTAGTATAAGATAACAAGATACTATGTATGAAACTTCCTTGAATTCTCAGAGACGACATCACAAACATGATTCAAGGTTTAACCTCACAAGAGTCATCTATGGTTGGGTAACGAAAGTAACCCGGCCTGGGAAGCTAGTAGGACTATAGAAATACTACCGCCCATCTTATATCAATAATCTTTATTTCCATCCTTATAAACATTTTTATCAGTTTTTTAAGCATATACGTACGAAACGAGTTTAGCTTTCAAAACGAGTTGTACTGGGCTAATTAGGTAATTTCGGACGTAAGCGAAGCAATGAACATCCCTCTTCCTCACTAGGAGAGTAGATAAAAGTATACTTAAACTAGCATAGTTGGTGTTGGAGTTGTTCGGGAATCTGGCCAGTACAAGTTTACGTTGTTCAACAAACTAATCCCACTTCATACTTGTATGTTGGACTTCTTAGCTTAGAGCAGCAGGCAAATCTAAACCTGCTAACAGAAAGTGAGGTCAACTTCTAAAGCATAACAAAACAAACACGTAAATTTAACAGCAATCATTACTCTGAGACAAAAAGAATTGTTATTTTTAGTTAACTTGGTAAAAAGTTATACTACCTCTGTCCCATAATATAATTCCTGTTTTCTTAATTTGGAGATCTAAAATGTTGTTCTTAATTCTATTTTTGGATAGTATGTAAAGATTATTATACCCTCATTTTTTTAACTTTATTTATTGTATTTCCTAAATTACCCTTGAATTTTGCACATGCCTTGTACTTTTTTCCACTTTCTCTCTCTAGCTTTTGTCTACAATTGTACTTTTCACTTTTATTAATATACTTCATCCTCTTTTTTCTCCTATTTCTTAAATATCGTGAAAAAACACAAATAAGAACTACATTATAGGACGAAGGGAGTAACAAAGGCTAACGGATTGATATTACATACAAAATATGAAGTCACTATAATAACTTAAACTAGAATTTGTTGTCACATTGTCTAAATTCCCTCTAGTTAAGGATGTATGAGTAACATGGTTGTACCAAAATAATCCATATGCATCCCCGTGATTTAATCCAAACAGAGAGACTATAATCGATTCCCATTTTATATACTCCCTTCGTTTCGTATTAATCGTAACACTTTCTTTTTACATCCGTTTCATATTAATTGCAACACTTCAATATTTGGAAAGGACCCACCATTATTTTATAATTTCTCTCTCCCACTGTCCTCTTATTCACAAATATTTTATTATTTCTCTTTCCTACCAACCCCACTTACACTACTTTTTATTTATTTATTTATTTTTAATTTCTCTCTTTTATTAATAATACTTTATATTATAAAATATCCTCTTTTGAGCCCCACCCTATAAATTTTCTTAAAGTTTGTTAACACCCTAATGTTGCGATTAATATGAAACGGATGGCGTATTTATGAAAGAAAGGATATATTTCTACATACACTAATTATTGAGATTCTCATGAAAAAAAAAAAATAATAATAATAATAATAATAATAATAATAATAAGCATATATGCATTTTGCAATTGAAAGCAGGATTGAGTGGTTATGAAAATTTATGAAAGAACATGTACACAGACTCAAAGATGGATTGGCAATACTATGATGTACTAATATTATCATAGAACTACCGGTCAAAAAAAAAAAATTATCATAAAACTTTCTCTGGCAAAATAAATATAAACTCATATAATTACCATCACTTATTACCGCCTACCAAACGAATATACATAATTCCGTTTAATTTCACGGGTTAAGAAGTAACAACAATGACAAGTTTCTACCAAGAGAGCTCATTTGTTTATTTGGCTAGACCAATAGGCACAATTTGCTTAGGTTGGATTTTTTTGGCAACATTTAGTGGGTTGGGTTGAACCGTTGAACCTTCTACCAACATAACTCTACACAACTCATGGTTTCAAATATACGTACCATGATTGGCATTGGTCATATCAATGTCTTCAGCAGTTGTACGATGTTAACATAAACAATACAGATTAACTAAAAACATTAACAATACACATGCAATAATTTTGATTCAATCATATTGAGTACAAAGCTATTGCAGACTTTCTTCATCAAAATAATAAATTTATAAATAACAAAACAAACAGACAAGAGATATTTGACATTATGTGAAGAAGGCCAATTTTGCTTCCCTAATCTCTACGACCTTATGATAAAGTAATACTCATTTCTGTCATTCATGAAAAACAAATTTACCCTGGACAAGAGGAAGAAAGTCAAACAAAGTTGTGGTTCTAAGACTGTTTAATTTGAAAAGGAATTCTTCTTATATTACTTACTAAGTAGTTTTATTATTATTTTTTTTCCTATGAAAAGCTAAAATTCAATCGAAGTTGGGTTTCAAATCCATCTCCATTTATTTCATTCCTCGCCGGAACAGTAAATAGAGAAGGAGAGTGGGATTGAGTCGAAGAAAATTATCACCACCCCCCAAAAGTAGTTTTTGGGGGGGCATTTTTTTTTCCAAACATACGATAATGTAAAGTACTTCGTACCTGTCCTACGAGTTGAATGATAATGAGATCATATATTTGCAATTCAGATTTACATAAATTATAACTCGACTGTAATCATTTAAGATCAATAATAGATAGGAAGATTAGGAAGTTTTTACTACAAAATTACCAAATTCAGAACAACTAATAATCAAAAAGAGAAACTATTTTGCCCCTCTTTTTTTCCAATTTTTTGGACATAGGCCAATTAAAGTGTATAAGACAAAACTACTGTATTTCTTTACACTTGAGACTAGAGGGTTTAAGCACATAATTATCAATTATAGAATAATTTGACAAGGTAAGTGGGTGCACCAAATTCTCTCTATTGTTAGACACAGTACTTGATTAGACACCTAATCCAAAAATACAACTTAGTATAAACGAGCAAGAGACCTCACCACCCTATAGTCACAACACAACCATCAAAAGCTTCACTCTAGGGAAGAACGAACAAGAGAAGTGCAGTAAGATGAAGTTGCACAGCACATATTGTAGCCTTTTCCTCAAACTAACCTTCATTTTAGCGTTTACAGCTTGTTTAGCAAATGCAGCGGTCCACCATCATGAGTTTGTTGTAAGTTCCTTTCCTCTAGTCTTGCAAGCAGTATAATTTTCATGCATGAAAATGCATTCCATCAACTTTTCTTTCCTATGCCTTCTTTAACAATAAATATCACAGATTCAACCAACGCCAGTGAACAGGCTTTGTCAAACCCAGCACGTTATGACTGTGAATGGTCAGTTTCCAGGGCCAACCCTGGAGGTACACAATGGAGACACCCTAATCATCAAAGTAACAAATGCTGGCAAATATGATATCAGTCTCCACTGGTAAGTAATCAAGTACACACGCGCTATTCCCAAAATACTTCTAGAGAAAGGCCACTCAGCCATAACTCTAAGTTACTTAACATGTTCTCAAAATTTTACACAGGCATGGAATCCGCCAAATGAGAAACCCATGGGCAGATGGACCCGAGTATGTAACACAATGCCCAATGAAACCTGGAGTAAGCTACACGTACCGGTTCACCATTGAGAACCAAGAGGGAACACTATGGTGGCATGCTCACAGCAAATGGCTAAGAGCTACTATATATGGAGCTCTAATCATATACCCCAAACAGGGATCTTCATATCCCTACCCAAAACCCAAAAGAGAATTTCCTCTTATTCTAGGTAAAGCAAAGTGAGCAACCACTTTAAATAATATAGCCATGATGAAGACGACTAAAATTGGTAATTTACAGGGGAATGGTGGAACAGAGATCCAATGCATGTTCTTCGACAAGCAAAAATAACAGGAGCAGCTGCAAATGTGTCAGATGCATATACTATCAACGGTCAACCTGGTGATCTATATCCATGTTCCAACAAAGGTTTTGATTTAAGCATTAATCCTCATATCTGTTATGCTCCATTTAGATGGAAAACATGGCTAAAATTATATTATTATGTGCAATATTAAGGAGTGTGGAAACAAATAAAAATACATAATAACGCAAAAAGATTCAGGCTATCTGACTAAATGGCTTAACTCAGCAGAAAATTATAATGAAACAGAGCATTTAAGCCCTGAAAAAAGTCTGCATAAAGGGTCCTACTTGGCATCAAACTAAGCATTATCAGAAATAATCACCAGATATGATACGTGAACTATAACAGATTATCAGAATAGGCGATGTGCAACTGATTAAACAAATTTTACCTCCAATAGAGAATAGTATAATCTCTGCTTCAACTTTGTGCAGATACAACCATATTTCCTGTCGAAGCTGGTGAGACAATTCTTCTCCGAATCATCAATGCTGCACTCAATCAACAACTCTTTTTTTCAATTGCCAACCACCAAATGACAGTTGTTGAAGCGGATGCAATTTACACCAAGCCCTTCATCACCAATGTTGTGATGATAGGGCCAGGACAAACAACCAATGTCCTAGTCACTGCTAACCAACCACCAGGCCACTACTACATGGCAGCTACGGCCTACTCCAGTGCTCCTAATGTAGCCTATGACAACACCACCACAACTGCAATTCTTGAATACAAGTCTGCTGCTTGCAAATCCAAAACAGGAAGTCCTATGAGACCAATTCTTCCACAACTACCAGCCTGGAACGATACTAACACCGCAAATGCATTTAAAGCTCAATTTAGGAGTCTTTCCAAGGGGAGGGTCCCGCTTGAGATTCATGAGAACCTATTTTTCACAATCAACCTCGGGCTGATAAACTGTTCAGGTCCAAGTTTCCGTTGTCAAGGCCCCAACAACACCAGGTTTACTGCTAGCATGAATAACGTATCCTTTGTTTTCCCGAAAAGGAATTCCATAATGCAGGCTTTGTACCAAAATACTCCAGGTGTCTTCACAACAGACTTTCCTCCAGTGCCTCCATTGCAATTTGATTACACAGGCAACGTAAGCCGAGGGCTGTGGACACCTGCACGAGGGACTAAACTATACAAGTTGAAGTATGGTTCTCATGTACAAATCATTTTACAAAGTACGAATATTGTCACAATTGAGGACCATCCAATGCATCTCCACGGATACCATTTCTTCGTCGTTGGCAGTGGCAAAGGTAACTTCAATCCAAGAACAGATCCTGCCAGATTCAATCTGGTTGACCCACCAGAAAGGAACACAATTGGAACCACACCTGGTGGATGGGTTGCCATCCGATTTGTGGCTGATAACCCAGGTAACAAAGAAGCAACTTAATAAATTTTTGTACATTCTCTTATCATTTCATCATTAATTTGCATAATACCCTTACCAGTCAGTGGTGCTAATATTTTTCTTCCTTTTCTACTGTTCAAACAGGGGTTTGGCTGATGCATTGTCACCTTGATGTTCATATTGGTTGGGGCTTGGCTATGGCCTTCTTGGTTGAGAATGGTGTTGGTAAACTAAATTCCGTAGAGCCTCCTCCACCACAACTTCCCCAATGTTAATTTACAGGAGTCAACTTTTCAGGAAGGGATAGGGTATCCCAAGTCACAAGCCTATGAGACATTTTTCATCCAAATTTTAAGCACTCATTTTCAGTATCGTCACTTTTTTTTTTTAATTCAAGGCTATGGAACAAGGTACAGAGCAAGCCCAGTCGCCAGATGATCTTATTTGTGAGGTTTATATTGTAATGTAAACAAGCTGTTCATATTAAAGTATTGCAGTGGCAACAAGTTTTGCCAATAAATATTCTTGTTACTCTCACTCTCTCTCTCTCCCCCCAAAAAACAATGAATCATGTTGAAGTCAATAAGCAAACTCAAAATTCTTAATAAATCAAATAACTGAAGATACTTCATTCAAACCATACCAGTAAGCTTCAAACAATAATACATTGCAGCACTTAACCTAAAGACTTACAAAATTATGCACAGCAAAGCTTCTTAGTTAATCAAGCAACAAACTTCAAACAACGAGTATCATTATGTATTTTCTGGCACCGGATACAGCAAAAACGCACACCACACCTAACACAAGTATAATTGGCATTAAACCCACAAACCGTGCAGAAATTACGACGAGAGGTTATGCTTGGAGGTCCAACAGCTGCCCTCAAATAATTTGGTACATGAGGGGGCAAGGCATCCAAGTTTGCCTGTTACCACAATCCAAGACAAAGGATTTTGCTAAGAACAATTGCGGAAAGTAGCAACTAAATCAAGTTCAAGATACTTAATCATACCCAAAGATTAACAATTTTTCCATTTTCTCACCTCATTAACTAGCTCCAAAAACGTTCTAGGATTTTTCCTTGCAATTTCTCTCGCTTTTCCTTGACGAGTTTTCCGCTTCATACTCATAGATTGCTTCTTCTGTATATATGCTGCCAATACATACATTATCTCAATTTCCACATTATTTTAGATAGACAAATCAATAATGCTTCATCTTTTATTTACATTATCAACCGAAGCAAAAAATCCGTAATATAATCATCTAATCTGATTTTAACAAATATTAAGAACAACAAAATTCAATTTCCAAATTATTTCAGATAAATAAATCAATAATGCTTCAATTTTTATTACATTATTAACCAAACCAAACCAAAAACTCCGTAATATCATCATCTAATCTGATTTTAACAAAAATTAAGAACAGAAAAATTCAATTTCTCAGTAATGCAACTCCAATTCAACCTAAAATTTCACAAATTCATGCTCAACTCTACTGAAATAAACCTAATATCGCACTAAAATGATGAAATCACTAGCAATAGCACTGAAAATTCAAGCAACAAGAGAATTATTGAAATAATTTAATAAACATATAGATAAAACCTACCTTCTTCGTCATCATCAAGAGAAGCATCATCGTCGTCGTTGATTTCGACTGTTTCAACTCCGCCATTATCGTTTTCCAGAGCTTCAAGCCTAGCTATTTCCGCCTACAAATCAACAAAATTCATCGTTTCAGAAGTCATTTCCTCCTCTTTTTCACCGGAAAAAAAGAGAGAGAAAGAGAGAAAAGCAAGACCTGAGTTCGATTATCGGAGCTAGCAAGAGCAGCCGCCATTTTTGTGGCGACTTTTCGAGACCTTGTCGACGTTCGTCGGACTGCGCCGGAGATTTCATCGTCCATCGCCGGAATTTTTTTTGGATTTGATTTCAGAAACTTCGTTCTCGTCTGGTGAACTAAGGCTCCAATTCGAAACTGTGGCTCTATGAGGTTATGTTATTGGGTTTTCGAAGGGTTAGTTCAGGAATTGGGTTCGGTGAAATTAGGTCAAATCGGATCACTATTAAAATGAAGGCATGTTTATTGTGTTTACTCAGAATTGAAATATTAATTGAACTATTTTTTTAAAAAAATTTGTTGGATCAATTTAGGTACTTGAGTCAATTAAATTAAATAGTCAAAAGAATATATATTTAATTGCTAATTAAATTGATTTAAAATCATTAAAACTAAATCAAACATTAGGTACACATGATCATTGATAATGCATTTGAGGGGTAATCAACTCTAAAAATAAATAAAAATACAAAATAATGAATAAAAATAGAGCCTAACATGTTTATGTATAAAGAAAACCATCAAAATTAAGCTAACATAAACTCTAATCTAATAACAAGCCCAAGGGCTAGCTCGTTGATCTCTTAACACTTGTTGTTGTACTACCAATACGGATCCGGATGTATTAAAATCGATTGATACCAAAAAATCACCTACTAATCCTAATTCAGGATTATCAGTCCATTCGGATAATCCCTCCAACAAAGTTGGATTAATTCCATTTTTCCTCCCTGTAATCCAAAGATCTATTGGAACGCTATCATTCAACGATTGTACAGCTGAAACAGTTTCGAAACCATTGTGCACAACAACTTCCTTGTATACTACTTTGTCATTCCTCTCATTTTTAACCCAAAACCAAGTTACCACCCCATCATCCAACTTCCTCTCGGACTCATCATCCCCTTTATACTCACTTGCCAAGAATCGAACCACAACTAACGATACGTCGGGATGTTCCACCATGTGATCCGCCAACGAGAGGGCCTCACGGGCATCAGGTCCACCAAAGAATAACATGGCAAATTGACGACGTATGCAGTTGCTTGATCGAGTTGGGAGTGACCCCCATGCAGCGGCATTCTTGCACGCTAAGATTCCAACGGAGCATGGTGCATGTGATAATGTGTTAGCATTAGCAGATTGTACACCCGGCCTAAGTATGGCAGTTGAAAAATCATTCCCATCTTCAATACATTTTTTGTGAAAAGGTAAAATAATAAACCCTACCTTGTTCAACAAGGCAATCTCACATATATCTTGATACATAGTTCGTTGAGGGGTAATACTTGTAAAGAAATTCATAAAAATGCAATCCGTCCGAGCCTCTTCGTAGAGCTTGATGGCATTGTGGATAGCCTCGTTGTTGGTGTCCCAATAATCTTCGTTTTGCTTTGCATGGTCAATAAACACTGGGGCTGCTCGCCCCAATAGTTCAACAAGGTAGAGAGCAAAAACTGTAAATGGGTTGCTCGAAGTTGGATTAGCAAAGTCCAAGAGACTAAATAGGCTAGCCACACTTTCTTGGTCATAAATACATGCTAGGATTCGAAGTTCAGACTCTTGCACTGTATGTTGTATTGTTCTTTTCTTGTTGATCATGTATGGCCGTGTTGGATCATAAAGGAAGTCAATTATAGGACTAGTTATGCCTGTTACTATGATTGTTAAGGTCACCATTAATGAGAAAGATGGCGTTTTTATGATCTGCATATAAAAATTTCAGATTTTAATGTAAAATAAATTGATGAGAACTAACATAATAGTCAAAATTGACCAAATTTAAGTATATAGATCAAACATTAGTATTATTATAGGAAAATTTGTCACGAATAAGACAATCTTTATGCAGTTAGCTCAAAATAAGTCAACCTTTAGATTAATTCAAAATAAGTCGACCTTTATATGATATTATCCCAAAATGAGTCGTGACCTGTTGGTTTTATAGGTAACCGGTTGTTTGAATTAATTATGGAAAGTGTCAAAATATAATTGGTTCTTTTTTAAAAATTTAATTATAATTAAGTATATTATTATTTTTATTAAAAAAAGAGTATATTATTTAATAAAAGAATTATTAACCCGACTCCCACCGGGCACCGCAAAGAAGCCACCGCTGGCTATTCCCCCACCCCAGACCACTTTCTTCTCTACCCTTGCACCGCAGTCGCTCTTACCAGGCCACCACCACCAACCCCCCTGTCGGCCTTTTCCCCCACCGACGACCACACTTCCCCCATACACGACCCATTTTCTCGCTCTCCCTACCCGCCTCGACCCATTCTCTCCCCTCCCTGACTGGCCTTTTATCCCCCTATCCTCCTCAATGTTGGCCCTTTTCTCTTTCCCTCGCCTAACCGTCAGCCAAACCCTTGCTTCCTTCCGTTCGCTCTTTCTCTCTCTTCGAAGAGGTGGTTGGTGGTTTTTACAAGGAAGGGTGGGATCGATGGTGGGGCCGGGTTTTTTGAGGGATGCATGGTGGGTGGCGACTTCTTGGTGGTGATTGACTGGCTGGGCACAGGTGGTGAAGGTTATTTCTGGGATGTGTTGGTTGAGTGGCTGAAGAGTGAAAATGTTGCCTGGTTGGGGTTCATGGGGGTTGGAAGTGGGTTGGAAGAATATTCCAAAATAAAAATAAAATAAATGAATAAAGTGACTTGTTTTTTAGGTTGTAGGTCATTTAGCCTATTTAAAGATAATACCCTTAAAAAGTCGACTTATTTTGAGTTAATCTAAAAGTTGCCTTATTTTGAGCTAACCGTGTAAAGGTTGGCTTATTCTTAACAAATTTTCCATTATTATATTGATTGTGATTGGGAATGGGTTATAATGATGTTTTTTTTTTTTTTTTTAGTGGTAGTATGTATATGGGCTTTAAATTTGAGAGTAGCATAGATTGTTGGGGGCGGGGGATTGTGCACTCTTACTTTTAAAATACCAAAAATGCCATGATATATTGTTTATATAGTTCACTTAAAATATAATGTCTAACAAAATCATTATTGATTCTTAAAAAGTAATTGAGTGTCTTCTAAGTTGATTTGTAAACTACAATTTGTACGCCAACATTATCCATAGAACTATAGGTTAGGTAAACTAACCCTGATTAATCTCTATAACATTAGACATGATTATCATATTTGTGCATCATACAAGATTTTGTCATAGAATCGTACCTTTAAATCCGCCCAATGAAGGTAAAGAAGAAATTCTGTTTGACCTCTGAGGCTAAGCATAAAGCTCATAGCAAGCGAATCTCTATACGACATGTCAGTAAACTGGGCCGCCATAACAACCGAAACAAGCTTTGATACAATGGCCATAGTAGCCAAAGCAAATAGAGGAGTTAAGCAAGACCAACATTCACTCATTGCAAAAATATCCGTCTTAAGCCCAATAGTTGCATAAGCAAAGGGCATAAGAATGTCGTTCATAACAACCTCACTCTTATGCACAATGGTAGCCCCTATCGGCGGTCCATCGGGTATGGCTAGTCCAAGCCAAAGAGGTCCATTTCCAATTGCAGCACCAATAAAATCAGTGGTAAACGCAATCACAAAAACTCCTAGCAAAGTAGCAGTAATATATTTTTGATCCACAGGTTTACCTTCAGGAGTTTGCCTATTAATCCATTGCATTACTTGTGGAATTCCACCAATTACTAATCCACTAACACCAACTACTGTACATATATAATACAACGCATTTATCCCTTTATCTTCTCCTTGTTTAACAGCTTCAAACGCAATAATCACAGTAATTCCCACGACATCACTTATGATCACGGTTGTTAAGGCAACACGTCCAATTTCCGAGCTTAAAAGTTGCATATCCCTTAGAATTGAGTATATAACTGGGAATGTTGTGATGATTATAGCCGAAACTATACCTCCAATAGAAGAGTATTTCCGAAGCTCAGGGTCCATGTAGTCGCGGATGCAAATAGCTACAACCCATACAATAATGTGGGGGATTATCAACCCGGATAATGCAATCACCCAATGCTTCTTCCCTGCTTTAAAGATCACAGCCAGGTCCATTTTTACCCCCGTCACAAACAAGAAAAACATGAACCCTATGATCCCGATATTTTGTATTACATATCGTGAGTTCTCTGGAATTACATTCTTTGCAAAGTTCTCATTGTGACCTAGCACCGACGGTCCAATGATTATGCCCGCCTATGTACACAAAAGATTCATCACTTAATTTTTTCACTACATAATACAAGTACATTAAGAATTTGGATTGATTTATATCATGTTTTTTTAATGCAAAGTAAAATAGGCTAAGGGAAGGCTTTGCGCTCTCACTTTGTAGAAATCAACGATAAAGCACTAGCCCGTATTTACAATATCAAAAAAATAAGCAACTAGTGTTATACTCCTAAATCATTACAACCTTTATTTTAATAATTTTTTGAAACGATTGCTTGAAATCATTTTATCTCTCATCAATATGGTAGTTATCAATGAGACACGACTCGATCTCAAGTCTTATGATTTATGTTCCACCCTACAAACTTTATATTAATCCATTAGTCATTTTTATTAGTTACGTTTTGACTTTGCATGTTTATCACTGTACTTTTTGACCATTAATATATTTCATTGCATATTTGTAAAAATTTAACAATTGAATATTAATAAATACTCGTTGAGACGAATCAAATAAGACCTACATGACTATATTATGTCTTATATATTGGGAATAAATTAGAAGATTTTCTTATCTTATAAATAGAGTCAAAAGTCAAAACGTAACCAATAAATAGAAATGGAGGGAGTAGTATAAAAAAATAAAATTCCGGACATAATATCACTTTTTTTTTTCCCTTACAATTGCTTGTCATCATCTTACAAAGTACATTAAAAATATATATAGCTAAGTATTCAAGATAACGTTACAAAATTAAACTTTTTACTTATATAAGTGATGAGAATCAAGTCTTTTAAAGAAGTTCTAAAATGTTTTATTCATCATAATCTTATAAAGTAAAATGATTATTTAGAGAGAGGGGGAGACTTACAAGGATATCGGAGATGACTTTAGGTTGTTTGAGAGGCTTCAAGAGGAAGCGCATTGTTTGGCTTAATATAAGAACTAAAGACATTTCTAAGAGGAGAGTGGTGAAGGAAAAATCAAGAGGGTTAGCACCTTGAAATATGGAGAAAGCATGATTACCATGATTTCGTCGACAAATTATCTCCACAACTCGGCCATGATAATCTATGACAGCGGATCCATTTAACTCTGATAAAGTTTGGTCCATAACCACAACTTAAATTGATGTTTAATTTGTTGAAACAATAATAAGAAGGAAATAACTTTTTTTTGTGTTACAATCTTTCAATAGCAACAGTTCTCATGTGTACAAGAATAACTTATTTTGATTACGACGAATAAGAGATTCATTAAGAAGACGATAATGTGATCACAGACTATAATAAAATGATCATGCATGCAAAACTTTGGAAATTAGAGAAGACAAACAAAAAAAAATGTAAGTTAATTTTTTTGGGTTAGGAAGAGAGTGATAGAGGTGGAGAGAAAGTAAGAGAAACTAAAGCGGAGAAGGTGAAAAGAAAAGGAAATTTGAAGGATGGTTAGGCGTTAAATGTGGCAATTTGTTTCCATTTTAGTTGCTATGTTACTCCTACAATCTAGTCCTCTCATTCATCCTCACTTTATGTTCTTTACTTTTCCCCTTTTCTTCCTTTTTGGTTTTACATGTCTCGTGTAATTTTTTTAATTTCCTACTGTTCTTTACTTTTCCCCTTTTCTTCCTTTTTGTTTTTACATGTACTCGTGTAATTTTTTTAATTTCCTACTATTTTCGGAAAGATAAAAAAATGGGTTTCTTGAATCTGTGTTATATATTGTGATGTGGACAAGTAAAAACATACAATAATGGCTACACCAATTATCTAACAAATATAATCCTTTAAAAGTATTATGAAGTATATATTTGCATCATTGATTCAAATTAATAGATCTACAATCAAATAATTATTATTCTAAAAGTTGATTTATATGACAATATCATTATTATTATTATTATTATTATTATAAAAATTTCAAAAACCTATAAAGTCAAACAAATTACAGTGGAGAGCCGAGATACAATCTAGGCCCCCACCCCTCTAGCTATAACGAACCCAATCCTGCTGAAAATGTGAGCAGCTGCACGAACACCAATATCCTGAGTCCTAGCGAACGCCTGAACCCGCTTCAGCTACGCAACAACATTCTTCTCTAATTACCCCAATGAAGAAAAGGAGAAAGGAAGAAAACCATACCCAATAGCCTTGCAACTTGCCCCATACTTGTCCCACTTCCGCTGTGTTGCAACCGACACAACACGACCAGGAACGAAGTTAGATAACCCATATTGTACTAAAGGAAAAGACCCCGACAAGTCAACACACACATCAAGGTCTCTGTCCTATGAATAAAGTGACGCATCTGCAGGTCGAAGAGCCCCATCATTCCCTCCAGTCAACCCAATGTTAACCTTCTTTTTTGCAGAAATCTCAGACCGAAAACAAATATCAACAAGGATATCGCGAACATGATGAACTACAAAAGTTGTTATATATGAAAATTTGAAATGAATTTAACGTGATTATACATGATGCATAATGTTTTCTTTATTTACCAACATGAAGAGGCAATACCTTTATAATATAATTATTGCATACTATCTCTGTTTCATATTAAATTAATTGCAACAAAGAGATATTATTTGTGAGACATAAAAAATATTCCTTTATTGCAATTAATATGTAATAGAGGTGGTATATATAGGTAAATCATGTTCCGTATAGTGTAAGTTTATCAATGCTACTTTAAGTTGCCTGCAACTCTTTTTAACTGATAAATTATTATTTTTTTTTTATTTTTTTTTTTATTTTTTTTCCAAATTCCATATCTGAAGGCATAATCCCAAATGAAAAAGTTGGGGGTTTAGAACATGCTAACGAGTTTTAATTTAAGTCTTCCCTTTTTAAAGAAGAGACTCTTAAGTACATTTTCAAGAGGGCAATGTGAATAAAGGTTTTTTTTCTTTTTTTTCTTTTTTTTTTTGACAAAGTTATTTTGTTTTTAACTTTTAAGCTGGTTTGCAAGAACTTGTGAAACTTGTTTTGTAGCTTCGTTATTTGTGAAAGAATTTTATAGTCCCTTAGTAGCTTATGATATGTTAGCTACTTAGCCTTTTGTATTATTTGAATTTTTGCTTGTTTAAATAAATGTATGATAGAAACTATATATAAAAACATGTAGTTGATGAATGTTGACGATCAATCAACAATTGATAATGAATCTTGAGAATATAAAAAAAATTTATAATTATTTCTAATATTTTTGTACAGAATCTTAAAGCTATCACAAATCCTAACCTTCTAATAAGCTCAAGGACTAACACGTTGATTTCTTAACACTTGTTGTTGAACTATCAATACAGATCCCGAGTCCAATGACATCAAAAAATCACCTAATAATCCTAATTCAGGATTTTCACTCCATTCTAATAAACCCTCTATTAAAATTGGATTAATCCCATTGTTCCTCCCTGTAATCCAAAGATCTATAGGAGCACTGTCATTTAACAATTTGATGGCTAAAACAGTGTCAAAACCATTGCGCACAACAACTTCCTTGTACACTACTTTGTCATTCTTTTCATTTTTAACCCAAAACCAAGTAATCACCCCATCATCCATCTTTCTCTCCGACTTCTCATACCCTTCATACTCATTTGCCAAGAATCGAACCACGATCAACGACACGTTAGGATGTTCCACCATGCGACTCACCAACGAAAGCGCCTCACGAGCATCAGGCCCTCCTAGGAACAATAGTGCAAACACGCAGTTTACGCGGTAGCTTATTCGAGTTGGGAGTGTCCCCCATGGAGCAGCATTATTCTTACATGCTAAAATTCCCACGGAGCATGGTGCATGGGACAACGTATTAGCATTAGTAGATTGTACCCCTACCCTACGTACGGCAGTTGAAAAATCATACCTATTTTCAATACATTTCTTATGGAAGGGTAAAATAATAAGTTCTACCTTGTTCGACAAAGCAATCTCACAAATATCTCGGTACATGGTCCGATTAGGTGTAACACTTGTAAAAAAGTTCATCGTAATGCAATCCCTATGAGCCTTTTCATAGTGATTGATGGCTTTGTGAACGGCCTCATTGTTGTTGTCTCTATACACATCTTTATATTTTGTGTGGTCGATGAACACTGGGGTGGCTCTCCCTAAGAGTTCAATAAGGTGGAGAGCAAAAATTGTAAATGGATTATTTGTTGTTGGATTAATGAAGTCCACAAGGCTAAATAGGTTAGCCACACTTTCTTGATCGTAAATGCATGCTAGGATTCGAAGTTCAGACTCCTGCACCCTGTGTTGTATGGTTCTTTTCTTGTTGATTAAGTATGGTCTTGTTGGATCATAAAGGTAGTTGATTATAGGGCAAGCTATGCTTGTCATTAAGATTATCAAAGTCACTATCAATGAGAAAGACGGCGTTTTTATGATCTGTATATAAGATTCAAAAAATACAAAAGGGAGATTGATAAGTAACAACCAAGATTTTATAATGCTGAAAATAATTTTTTTTAATATAAAATGAGTTTATCGCTAACGTGGCTATTGCCTTTGTAACTCATATACAACCATTATTTTGAAGTGAAAGGATTAAGATAAGTAATTGTAATATTAGTTCTTCTAGCACTAGTAAAACATTCAATGTAAGTTGCATATTACTATTGATTCCAACATATAGAGTCGTCTCCCATCCATTATGGGAGTATTCATTAAAGTGTCCTAACTTTGTTTGATATATTATCCTTAATGATATTGAGTCATTCAAAATATAACTCATTCATTCTAATATAGTATCAAAATTAATTACTTTAAGTCTACTTCAACCTTAAAATACATATAATAAGATTTTATTATAGAATCGTACCTTTAAATCCATCCAATGAAGACATAGAAAAAACTCCGATTCACCTCGTAGGCTGAGCATGAAACCCAAAGTAAACGAATCTCTATATGTCATCTCCATAAATCGAGCTACTAAAACGACCGCAACAAGTTTCACAACAATGGCCGAAAAAACCAAAGTGAAGACGGGAATTAAAGAGGCCCAATAAGCCCACATTTCAAATACATCCGTCTGAAGCCTAATAGTAGCATATGCAAAGGGCATAAGAATGTCATTCAAAATAACCTCAGTCTTTTGGACAATTGTTTCCCCCATTGGAGGCCCATCAGGTATTGCAAGCCCAAGCCAAATAGGCCCACTTCCAATTGCAGCCCCAATAAAGTCCGTAGTGAAGCCCATAAAAAAAACTCCTAATAAAGTAGCAATAACATAATTTTGGTCCACGAGTTTGCCTTGGGGAGTTCTCTTAACAATCCAAACCCCAACTAGTGTTAACAAGTAATACAACACATATATCATTTTTTTTTCACCTTGCTTCAATGCTTCAAATGTAACAATCATACTTAACCCGAACACGTCGCCAATGATCGAAATTGTTAAGGCAAGACGCCCTATTTCCGAGCTTAAAAGTTGCATATCTTTAAGAACGGAGTAAATAACTGGGAATGCTGTGATGATTATAGCTGAAACAATAGCTCCCGTGGAAGATGCTTTATTAAACCCTAGGTCCGTGCATCGTTTAATAATTGATGCCACGGACGGTACGATGATATAGGGGATTAGTATCCCTCCAGCTGCGTTCACCCAAAGCCTTTTTCTAACCTTGGTGATCACAGTTACGTCCATTTTCACGCCTGTTAAGAACAAGAAAAACATGAATCCTATGATCCCGATATTTCGAATAATAAATCTTGAGTTCTCTGGAATCACATTCTTCGCAAAGGTCTTGTTGTGACCTAGCACTGATGGTCCAAGGATTATGCCTGCCTACACACAAATATATTTTCCATATTGATATTATCACGAGAATAATACATTTAGGTTTATTTATGTCAATGATATAACACATATATTTCCGATATATATAATTTGATCTCATATCTCTAACAGTAATGCATAAGAAAAGGAGGTATGTACGTAGAATTTATATTGACAATAAAGGGAATTATAGAAATACATTTTATTAATATATCGTAATTATAAATTAAAATGATGGTGACTTACCAGGACATCAGAGATTACTTTAGGTTGTTTGAGAGGCTTCAAGAGGAAGCGCATAATGTTGCTTAATATAAGAACTATAGACATATCTAAGAGAAGAACCGTGAAGGATAACTCAAGAGGATTTGCGCCTTGAAATATCGAAAATGCGTGACTTCCATGAGATCTTTGACAAATTATTTCAAAAACTTGACCATGATAATCTACCATAGCAGATGCATTTTGCTTCCATAAATCTTGTTCCATAACAACGACGTATTATCTTGCACGACGACAACAATGAGGAGGATGAATCTTTCCTTTGATCTAATCACTTTTAATGGCAACGAAAACTTACGGTTGTACCACGACGAATTAGCTTAATGATAGATCGGAGATCGATTTGCAGACCATTTAGAAGACGATATTATGGTCACGGTCATGGATAATATGACCGCACCATGCATGCAAAACTTTGGAGCTTAAACCAAACAGTAAAATGATCCAAAAAAAAAAAAAATTGATGTAAATATTTTTGTTAGGAAAAGAGTTGGATATTATGATTATTTTTCTTTATGTTATTTTAATTTTCTATTTACATGCATGTATTCGTGTAAACCTTATTTTTTATAGTTTCCTCCTAAATCAGAAAGAAAGAAAAAAAAAAAAAAAAAAAAGAGGGAAGATAGTATAACAAGTGAGAAAGAATATGTTGTATTAATTTTAGACGTCTAAATTTAAGTTTTTAAGTATTTCATTTATAGGTTACTTACTAATTTAATTAGGTGTCATTTATTTAGCTCAAGTAATCATATCATCATGATCATGATTCCTAGTCACGAAAATTACAAAGTCAAAGATAGTATATCATGTGCCTCTTGTAGTTTACACCTTAGTTTGTACAGCTGTCCTGCCTTAATTAGCTTTGATTATTATTATCATTTTATTTTTTGTGTAGATGTTCATTAATATTATAGTCAATGTAATTGCTGTAATTATTTTTTAAATTTTTTTTTAATTATTTTTTTTAATTTATAGTAAATTTAATTCTTAAACAAAAAGGTTGAATTAACAAATTGAATCAAATAAATAAAGATTTGCACTACCTGTGACATTCTCTCGCTCATATCATTGCAATTAACATACAACATTTCAAAGAGATTATCTCATGATTTATTGTAGTCGTGAGGATGATTTTTTCTGATTCATCTAATTGTGTTAAAAGAATTGAGAATCATTATTGCGATTCAGCATATATATTTTTTTTTTTTGAAACCCGACTGCATATATAATTGGTATTGGTTTCAAGAAACTAACTATGAGCTTACGACTTTTGCTAATTCTATTTGGACTACTCAACATCAAATCAAGCCTCCTCTGGAACGGGTTACCTTCAAATGCTAACGGCTAACCTATGTTGATTTGACTAAGTGATTTCAAATTTTATACAAAAGTTATCATTTATAAATAAAATATATTGGATTGGTCGGATTAATTTTTCACACTTTTATTCATGAATATAAATTGGTAGCAACTAAGCCACTAATAATAAAATTATACTCCTTCATCTTGAACCTAAACCCTTCATATGTAATTAATGATCTTATCCATTAATATTTGACTTGTACGAAGATGGAAATAAAAATCTACTTTCGTATTGACCATGAAACCAATAAAGCAATAAGATATTTCATTTTCAAAATTTATATATTCAAAACGTAAAATCATCTTTCTTCCTCCTTCATTCTCAAGATCATATGGTGAGATTGATTTAGGTTACAAACTTACAACACATTTAATTTCTATTTTTTTTTAAATTTTGAATATCCCGACTTTTAAAATTAAGATATAAGCTTTTTAAACATTTTATGTAACTTTTTAAAAGTTTCATTATCAGTTTTTAGAATTTTATTAGATTGGTGGACTCACAATGAACCAGCTAGACTCAATCAATACTTTGTGTTATTTTTTATAGATAGTTATTTTGTTAGCATAAGTAATAATGGTGCAAATTATAATTAATGACTACATTTTCATTGTAGCCATTGTAAATTTAATTTATTCTTAATCATTATCAATATAATTTTACCAAAGTTGAGATTTATTTGCTTTATAGATTTATAGTCGTCAAATATAAGTTTAACATGAAAAGAACACATTTTGGTGTTATCAGTTACAAACTGAGGGAAAAAAAAAGAGGTTAATCTAACACAAAATCTAATCTAGTAACAACCCCATGGTATACATTGTGGATCTCTTAACACTTGTTGTTGCACTATCAATACAGATCCTCCTGAGGTATTAACATCCATGGACACCAAAAAATCGCCTATTAAGCCTAGTTCAGGATTTTCACTCCAATCTGATAAACCCTCTAATAATATTGGATCAATCCCATTTTCCCTCCCAACAATCCAAAGATCTACTGGAGTGCTATTGTTCAACGATTGTATAGCCGAAACAGTATCAAGACCATTATTCACAAACACTTCCCTGTACACAACTTTGTCATTCCACTCATTTTGTACCCAAAAACAAGTTACCACTCCATCATCCATCTTCCTTTCCGACTTAAGAAACCCTCTATTCTCACTTGGCAAGAATCGAATCACAATTAACGACACGTAAGGGTGTTCCACCATGCGACCCGCCAACAAAAGAGCCTCACGGGCATCAGGACCACCGAGGAATAACATAACAAATTGGCGGTGTATTCGGAGGAACATTGGAGCTGGGTTTGTTCCCCATGTAGCATCATTCTTACATGCCAAAATTCCCACGGAGCAAGGTGCATGGGATAATGTATTAGCATTTGACGATTGTACCCCTGGCCTTATGTGAATTGAATAATCACTCCCATCCGTAATACTTTTTTTATGGAAGGGTAAAATTATAAATCTAACCTTGTTCAACAATGCAAGTTCACATATGTCTTGGTACATTGTACGATTTGGGGTAACACTTGTAAAACTTCTCACGGTAATGTAATCCGTACGAGCCTCTGCGTAGTGCTTGATAGCATTATGTATGACCTCGTTGTTGTTGTCCCAATACGCGTTTATATGCTTCGTGTGATCGATAAACATTGGGTTGCCTCGCCCTACGAGCTCGATAAGGTAGAGAGTGAAAACCGTGAATGGGTTGCTTGAAGTTGGATTTGCAAAGTCCAAGAAGCTAAATAGGTTAGCCACACTTTCTTGGTCATAAATGCATGCAAGGATTCGAAGTTCCGAGCCTTGCATTGTGTGTTCTATGGTTCTCTTTTTGTTGACCAAGTATAACTTTGTTGGATCATACATGTAGTCAATTATCGGGCAGGATATGACTGTCACTATGATTGTCATAATCACTATCAATGAGAAAAATGGTATCTTTATGATCTGCATTTAAACCTTCAAAGTAAAAATAACAAAATTTGATAAGCAATAACCTATTTATCATCCTTTGAAAAAATAAATAAATCCATATTATCTAGTTATTATTAGTCTGCCTCACCCTAAGTTAAGATAAACTATACCTTTAAATCCATCCAGTGAAGGCATAGAAAATATTCCGTTTGACCTTTAAGGATAAGCATGATGCTCAAAACAAACGACTCTGTATACGACATCTCCATAAATCGCGCCAACATAGCATTTGTAACAAGCTTCGAAAAGATAGCCATAAAAACCATAGTAAAGATGGGAACTAAGGTATTCCAAGATGCAGTCATTGCAAACACGTCCGTGTAAAGTCCAACACTAGCATATGCAAAGGGCATAAGAAAGTCATTCAAAATAACCTCCGTCTTTTGCATAACGTCTACTCCCATTGGGGGCCCATTAGGCATAGCAAGCCCAAGCCAAATGGGCCCAGTTCCAATAGCAGCCCCAATAAAATCAGTAGCAAACCCAATCAAGAAAACTGCTAGAAAAATAGCAATAATATAGTTTTGGTCCACAGTTTTACCTTCAGGAGTTCTCTTATTAATCCATTTTACTACTTGTGGTAGGCCAGTAAATAATAAGGTACTAATCCCAAAAACTGATAATAAATAATACCACAAATAATGCTTCTCTTTTTCTCCTTGCCTCATTGCTTCAAAAACAACCAGCATAGTTAACCCAAAGAAATCACTTAGTACCGCGATTGTTAAGGCAAGACGTCCAATTTCCGAGCTTATAAGATTCATGTCTGTTAGAATGAAGTAAACAACTTGGAATGATGTAAAAATCATGGATAAAGGAATTGTAAGCATGGAAGAATGCATTTGTAGCGCTGGGTCTAAGAAATCTTTAATGTATTTGAATACACACGACATGATAATGATTGGGAATATCGCCCCGACAAATGAAATCACCCATATTTTTTTTCCGGCCTTGGTGATCACTGCTAAATCTGTGTTGGCCCCCGCTAAAAACGTGAAAAACATGAACCCTATGATCCCGATATTTTTTATTAGAAATTTTGTGATATCTGGTATGACATACTTTTCAAAGGTCTCGTAGCGACCTAGGAACGATGGTCCAAGGAGTATGCCCGCCTACACACACAAACATATGTAGAGTTATTATTTTTATTGAAAAATAAACACCTATTATGTTTTACTTTGTATAATTTATTTACAAAAATCTTATAGCAATGATATATACACGATTTAATCCTAAATATTAAAATAATACCATCTAATTAAGCTATAACCTCTTCTCTCCTCAATAATAAATGAAAACTAATTAAATCATCATCATAAAAAGTAAGATAAATAAACAAGACATACCAATATACCAGACACGACTTTAGTTTGCTTGAGAGGCTTGAAGAGAGCGCAAAATGTTGCTGAAAACAAGAACTATTGATATTTGTAAAAGGATAATGGTGAAGGAGGATTCATAAGGATGATTTTTGCCTTGAAATATTGAGAAGGCATTATTTGCACGATCTCCTAAGCAAATTGTCTCAACAACATTGCCTCGATAATCTATCGAAGCAGTTTTATTTAGCTCATTTTGATTTTGGTCCATAACAATGACTTAATTTGAACAATTTGGAGTGAAATTACTTAATTTCACTCTCTTTTTATGGCAACAAGATCAGCTACAACAAACCAAGTGTGTGTATCACAATAACTTAATTAGCTTGGTCATGATGATAATAAGGCATTAAATTAAAAAGACAAAAATATGCTCCCACTCACAAATAAATTTTGGAGTATAGATAAAACATTTTTATTTATTGTTTTTTTTGGGGGAAAGAGGAGAGTTAGAGAATATGATAGTTTCCTTGTGCTCTTTTCTTACCCCTTTTATTCCCTATTCTTTTATTTTACATGTACTCGTGTAAATCTCTTTATAATCCTTTTAATTCAAAAAGGGGGAAATTAGGGAGTAACAGTGAATATGATTGACTGTGTTCTTAGGATAACACAATATTAACCTATTTTTAGACATCTAAATTTAAGTTTAAAGTAACACATTTATAGGTATATTTCTAATTAAACTAGGTGACATTAAATTCATCTCAAGTAATTACATGCATTATCACAATCATGATAACTAGTAACAGCGAACACAATATCAACCTAATTATAGATACCGTGTACAGTTGTACTAGTTTTATTAATTTTGATTGTTATCCTTTTTTTTTGTTGCACATTATTATCCTTGATCTAATGTAATTATTTATTAATTACGCAAATTAAATAACTTTGTAGTGAATATATAGTCTCTCCCTTGAATAGTTTATCTACTGCCTCTTCTTTTCTTTTCTTTTTTTTTTCAATGTTTTGGGTTATATTTGCGTTTATTAAAACATAAATTTAACCCTTTTTTTTTTTTATCTATTTTATTAGTTATAAAAAATAAAAACTACTAATCAACATTACCTCAAAAAGTGTTGCAAGGATTTAAAAACTAATGTAGTATATACACAGTCCTTTATTTCGTGACAATAGGCCCCTCCCAAATTAGTTGGTTGGGGTGGTACAGAAAATATTTTTGTTGAACTGAAATTATTTTTACGGAATATATAATTTTTTAAGGTGAAGTGAACAGAGCCTAAGTTTGCGTATCCGTTAGACATATTATAGCCCAGCCCACAGCCCACAGCCCACTTTATAGGTTAAAGCGATTTGGCAAATGTTAAGCTTAACATTATTACCATCTTAGTAGATAAGAAAGAATTAGCTCTATCCCCTCTAATCCTCTATGTAATTTCAAGTTAGGTTTTTTTTGGTTATTAGAAAAAAAAAAAAAAAAAAAATTGAATCCCAAATCTTTCTTTTTTTTTCTTTTTTTTTTTTTTTTTTTTTTTTTTTTTTGTGAATAGCTTTTTTGGTCTTTTAATATTACATTTTCATTGCAGCCATTGTAATTTTGTCATTAATAATCAATAATATTAATAAAGTTGAGATCCTGGTTTATAAAATTTAAATAGAAATTTAAAACTAAATATTATGTACACATGAAATTCGACAACACATTTTGGGGTGGTTATCAATTACAATTTACAAATAGAGAAAGCTACAATAAGGTTTTTTTTTTTTTTTTTTTTTCAATAATGACATTCATTGAAAAAAAAAATTAATCTAACGCAAATTAAAATTTAATCTACGTACTAACAACCCCATGGTATGGATTCTGGATTTCTTAACATTTGTTGTTGCACTATCAATACAGATCCTCCTAGGGTATTAACATCCATTGACACCAAAAAATCGCCTATTAATCCTAATTCAGGATTGTCACTCCAATCTGATAGACCCTTCAATAAAATCGAATCAATTCCATTTTTTCTCCCAACAATCCAAAGATCTACTGGAATGCTATTGTTCAACGATTGTAAAGCCGAAACCGTATCAAGACCATTGTCCACAAAAACTTCCTTGTACACTACTCTATCATTCCACTCATTTTGTACCTCAAAACAGGCTACCACTCCATCATCCATCTTTCTTTCCGACTTATTATACTCTCTATCTTCACTTGGCAAGATTCGAAAAACAATCAACGACACATTAGGATGTTCCGCCATACGACCCGCCAACGAAAGGGCCTCACGAGCATCATGCCCACCAAGGAATAGCATGACAAATTGGCAATGTATCCGAAGAAATATTGGACTTGAATTTGTTCCCCATATATCATCATTTTTACATGCCAAAATTCCCACAGAGCAAGGTGCATTAGATAATATATTAGCATTAGACGATTGTACCCCTGGCCTTACTTCAGTTGAAAATTCACTCCCATCTTTAATACTTTTCTTATGGAAGGGTAAAATTATAAATTTAACCTTGTACAACAAGGCCATATCACATATATCTTGGTACATTGTACGACTAGGGGTAACACTTGTAAAACTTCTCATAGTAATGGTATTCGTGCGAGCCTCGGCGTAGTGCTTGATAGCATTATGTATGACCTCGTTGTTGTTGTCCCAATAGACTACGTTAGTATTCTTTGCGTGGTCGATGAGCATCGGGGTGCCTCGGCCTAAGAGTTCGATAAGGTAGAGAGTGTACACCTTAAATGGGTTGCTTGAAGTTGGATTTGCAAAGTCTAAAAGGCTAAATAGGCTAGCCACACTTTCTTGGTCGTAAATGCATGCTAGGATTCGAAGTTCAGAGCCTTGCATTGTGTGTTCAATGGTTCTTTGTATGTTGATCAAGTATGACTTTTTTGGATCATACATGTAGTCGATTATTGGGCAGAATATGGCTGTCTCTATAGTTGACAGAGTCACTAACATTGTAAAAGATGGTGTCTCTATGATCTGCAAACAAGGGAAAAACAACAACGTTTGATATTTAGTATTTAATATTTTTACAAGATTTTAAATGTCCTCCCCCCCCCCCCCCAAATACATAATAGTATTAAATATTATTTATAATAAGTCCTCGGAACTTAAGATAAGATTTAATCGATCTGCAAACAAGGGAAAAACAACAACGTTTGATATTTAGTATTTAATATTTTTACAAGATTTTAAATGTCCCCCCCCCAATACATAATAGTATTAAATATTATTTATAATAAGTCCTCGGAACTTAAGATAAGATTTAATCATGAAAGCGTACCTTTAAATCCATCCAGTGAAGACAGAGAAAATAATCCGTTTGACCTTTAAAGCTAAGCATGATGCTTAAAATAAACGAATCCTTATACGATATCTCCATAAATGGGGCCAACATAGCATTTGTAACAAGCTTTGCAAAAAAAACAAATAAAACCACTAGAAACATGGGAACTAAGCTATTCCAAGATTCAATCACTGCAAACACGTCCGTATTAAGTCCAACAGTAGCATATGCAAAAGGCATAAGAATGTAATTCAAAACAATCTCTGTTTTTTGCTTAATGGCTGCGCCCATTGGGGGCCCATTAGGCATAGCAAGCCCAAGCCAAATAGGCCCAGTTCCAACCGCAGCTCCAATATAATCCGTGAAAAACCCAATAACAAAAACTGTTAGCAAAGTAGCAACGATATAATTTTGGTCCACAGATTTACCCTCAGGAGTTCGCTTATTAATCCATTTTACTACTTGTGGTAGGCTAACTACTAATAAGGAAATAATTACAAAAACAGATGACATGAAGTACCACAAATAATGCTTCTCTTTTTCTCCTTGCTCAAATGCTTCGAAAACAACAACCATAGTTAACCCAAAGAAATCACTTAGTACCGCGATTGTTAAGGCAAGACGTCCAATTTCCGAGCTCATAAGCTTCACGTCTGTTAGAATGAAGTGAATAACTTGGAACGATGTGAAAACCATACTTGAAAAAATAATCATGGAAGTTGCAGAATGTACTTGTAGTAGTGAACCCATATTTGCTTTGATGTAAGAGAACACAAATGACGTGATCACGAAGGGGATTGTCACCCCAAGAAATGCAACCATCCATACCTTTTTTCCAGCTTTGACCATCTCTGTTAGGTTCATGTTCACTCCCCCCAAAAACACGAAAAACATGAACCCTATGATCCCGATATGTTTTATTAGATATTTCGATAACTCTGGATTGACGTACTTTTCAAAGGTTTCGAAGCGACCTAGGAACGATGGTCCAAGGAGTATGCCCGCCTACACACACAAACATATATATGTAGAGTTCATCATTTTTAATTGGTTTTACTTTATTAGAATTCATAATTATAATGAAAAATGAATAAGTGCCCTCTCTCTGTTTTTTATCTTTTATTATTACAACACTTTTTACAATCGGTCATATTTAATTAGTTGCAACACTTTCTTAAATGGTAATATCTTACGCTACTTTATTACCTAACATGGTCCCACTCCTACTCCACTCACACTTTTTTTTTAATACTTCGTATTAAACTATTCACCCATTACCATTTTTTTAAAAAGGGAAATCTATTTGTCAACACCCAACTTCTTTTATCTCTTGGGTAAAATGAGAAAAATTGTTAATATCATTGGTAATCTTATTGTATTACATTAAATTGATCATTGCATTACTGATCATTTTTTATAAAGTTTTAACTATAGTTAAGAGTTTCCCTTCAATAATTAATGTTTATTTATAAAAATAATTATTTTTTAAAAAAAAACCCCTCCCCCACCCACCCAGCCACCAGCCAACCCCGAGCCCCCCTCCCATGTCGGCTGCCTAACTTCCCCATCCCCAACCCCTGCCGGCTACCCTCCACCCGACTCCTATTCCCCCACCCCAACTCCCACCCCCTCCCATTCAGTGGCGGACCCAGGAATTTCCGACTGGTGAGTCACAATTGATAACCAAATATGTAAAAAGAAAAAATTTACCAAAATTCCCAAGAAAAATTATTTACAAAGATCATCCAAATAGAAAATTGACAAGATTACAGTACTAACTAATAATTAACAAGCTTAAAATTGACAAGACTAAAATTAACAAACTAATAATTAACAAGCTAATAATTGACAACATGACAAGCTTAGCTCTCTAATAATTAACAAACTAATAATTGACAAGATTAAAATCTGTACAAGCATTAGGTTCACATTTCATCAAAAACCCAACAACATTAACAAAAGGTTCAAAGTTAGTATTTTTTTTTAAAAAAAAAAACTTAGAAAATAATTTATTTATTTATTTTTTTTAAAAAAACTTAAAAAATATTTTGGGCCCTGGCGAGTCATTTGACCCACCAGGCATAAGGCCAAAGTCCGCCAATGCTCCCATTCCCCACCTCGAAAACGACCCCCTCCCCAAAAACAACCCCCTTTATATTAAGAAGTTCAAATTCGTCATAACCATAAAAAAATAAGATAAGTAAACAAGACTTACCAATACATCAGACACAACTCTCGTTTGCTTGAGAGGCTTTAAGAGAAACCGCAAAATGTTGCTTAAAACAAGAACTAATGATATTTGTAAAAGGATAATGGTGAAGGCGGATTCAAAAGGATTATTTTTGCCTTGAAATATTGAGAAGACATTATCTTGTTTACGATCTCCTTGACAAATTGTCTCGACAACATGGCCTCGATAATCTATCGAAGCAGATTTATTTAGTTCATTTTGACTTTGCTCCATAACGACTCTACTTTAAAATGTCAACAATTCGGAGAAAATTTATTTATTTCAATCTCATTTTATTGCTACAATAAAAACCCATTTTTGTACCACAACAATTTAGCTTAATCTTTTCTTTCCCCTTTCATCTTTACCTTTTTTGTTTTACACAAACTCATATACTCGTGTGAATCTCTTTATAACCATCTTAACTCAAAAGGGGATTAATTTTAAGAAATAAAAGTAAAAAAAGATTGATTTTTTTTTTAAATAGAATATGATTTATTTTGTTCATAAGATAGCACAACATTAACCTATTTTTAGACATCTAAATTTAAGCTTAAAGTTTTACATTTATAGGTACATTTCTAGTTAAACTAGGTGGAATTGATATTCATCTTAAAAAATTACATGCATCATCACAATCATGATAATTAGTCACAGCATACAAACACAACATCAACCTAACTTTAGGTACCGTGTACAGTTGTACTAGTTTTATTAGTTTCGATTATAATTTATCCTTTATACAACTTGTTCCAAAAATTTAATTTATCCTTTATTGTAAAAGAGAATTTCTACTTAATTGACCCATATTGTGGGTTTGGTTTTCGTATTACACTCTATTTCTGTCCTCAAAGAATAATCACAATTAATAGTTTTTTTTTTTTTTTTAATTTATTTCAACTGTGTGGATTTAAATGTGAAGAAATTCATAAAATGTATGAAACATTTTTTTGTAGCTGGTTTTAAAAAGTTATGGTGAATTGACAAATAGTACAACTATCAAATTATTATAAATAATACAATGTAATTAGTAAAGAACGGATAAAGTATATGCAAACAACTCTTTCTATTCTTAAAATTTTTAAAGAAACGGGGGAAGTATATATACAAGAACACAACTATTAATTTATTTTCTTTATGTAAGGAACTAATTTTAGTTCGTATTAATTAATCAGTCCAACTAAATAGGTCAACATACGCTTAAAAAAGATAAAGCGAAGTTAGTGTACAAACATGCAAGAACGAGGGATTGACCATGTCAAAATGTATGTCATAAAATGATGTGGAAAATTTAGAAGTATAAAAAGCTTTGAATGAATAAAAAGTAGTCGTAATGGGTGGAAGAGCAGTAAATTGAAAGTAAGCGTATCCGGTGGGTATATTAAGCCAAGGTCACTGCTCACTTTATTAGGATGCAGCGATTTTGCAGCGCAGCCACAGCCCTAGTCTTTGCTTCCCCCCACGCTTATTTATTGCTTCTCAAATCAATGCCTCTTCAATCTTCATGCATGTTACACACTCAAATACTTACTTGTCCACCTTTAATTTATTTCTAAAGTTATGGGAATTTTGCACAATTCACTGTAAGAGTGTAAGACTATATAATATGATATGAGTAAATTACAAGTGTTTAAAACTGACCGATCATTCGATCTGATTCGAAATTAAATCGAACAAATATTCGATCGACATGTATGGACGTAATAATTTAGTTTGTCTCAAATTTGAAATAGAACCATAGTTGATTAGTCATGTAAATGATACATTAATCTTAGAACGCTCCGATCAACCACTATTGTAGGTTGAAATCGTTTTACATTGTTCCTTTCCTTCTTTTACAACTATTTTCCCAAAGTCTGAATGCTAAGCTAACACGCATTAATTTAGTATACGTAGTACATTTTTCCCTTGGTTTTGATTGATTTTTATCATTGATTCATCATATCCACTCTTCATGAGTTTTTTTTTTTTTTTTTTTTTGACAAAGAAAACTAAAAAAATCTAAAAACGAAAACAAAGTAATTCATGACGACGCGCAGCACCAGCCAACGAGTGAGCCGAAGATACCAAAGAATGGGAAACCTTCTTGATCTGACACACCTGAAAAGAAGAAACAATATCCCGAATTTCCTGAAGTAGCCAATGACAGAGATATCCTGGTGACTCCATGAGTAGGAATAGCACTACAATCAGTAACCAACAAAATTTGAGCAAAACCCTGCTGCTTAATATGACGAATCCCAAACAGGCAAGCAAGCAATTCTGATTGAAGAGCAGAATTCGCAACAGTTGCTTGAGCACCCCCACCAATACAATGAGAGGAAGCAATATCCCAAAAATTCCATCCCAAGCCTGCCCGACGAGTATCAGACTCCAAGGCACCGTCAAAACCGAGGAAAATATCACAGACGGACCCCAAGTCCCCTCTAAGACAATGAAGAACCATAGGGGAAGAAAGCCCCGGGGGATAAGATGGCCGCAAAGAAGCAACCAACAGTCAAGCATTCCTACCTCTGTCAGCCTAACTCTCAGCTAGGGCAAAGACAGAATGTGGAGAATACACTTCAGATCGAAACCAAAAATTATTCCGAGTTAACCAAATTGCCCAACATAAGCCAAATATTACCCAACCCAGTCCTTAGAAGCAGAATGTCTCGAAATAAGATCCGAAAACCAAACATCCAACGGTAAAGCAGAAGAGGTATCAATCAAAAGACCCCAAGATATAGAAGACCATAAAAGCTTCGTGAACCCACAATCCCGAAATAAATGTGTCGTTGTTTCAACAGATTGCTCACAAAAGATGCAACCCAAATTAACCGGGTTCCCTTTTCATTCAAGCAGACCAGCCGTAGGCAAAGCATTATGAACAAGCTTCCAGGTAAACAACTTCCATTTAGGGAGAATCGGAAGACCCCAAAAACGTTTCCACCAGTACGAGGAAGGAGTCAGAGAAGAAGACGCAGGATTCACCAATTGCGAAACAAACATGCCGTACGCAGACTTCATGGAGAAAGAACCATCTCTCGTGAATTTCCAGTATACAAAATCATCTATCAACTGCCTTGGTCTTTCTAAACCAAGAACAATCAAGGCGATAGAATCAAGGAATAAAGTCCGAACCAGGGAAGAATTCCAATTACCAGAATTAGCATCTAATAATTTAGAGACAAAAACTGGCCTATCCTGGCCCAAAGACGAATCCATAAAAACAACCTTGACACCTGGCAGCCAGCAACACTTAAAATATTAACCTTGGTACCAGAACCAATTTTTCAAGCAATACCTTGAGATAAAACTTTCCCTCCTTCCAACAGACTGCGATAACCCCAAGAAGGACGAGCATTAGCAAGCGTTGGATTAGATGTGAGCAAAGCAGAATACTTAGCCTTGAAAACTCTAGAGACCAACAGTTGGGGATGATGAATGAGACGCTAAGTTTTCTTCGCCAATAGAGTTAGGTTGAAGCTTCGTAAATGTCGTAAACCAAGACCCCTTAAACCCTTTAGAAAATGAAGAGCAACTGAAGAAGCCAAAGTAATTCCTTTAGAAGAGTCTTTAGATTTCCACCAAAACATAGCAAGTAAGGAATCAATCCGGTCACAAATAGTAGAAGGCA